CACACACACACACACACACACACACACACACACACACACACACACACACACACACACGTTTGTTTTACTATCCTCATGAGGACTTTGCATGGACTTCCATTCATTTAACCATCATTTTTATAGCCAAACCCTGACCCCTTACCCTAAACCTAACCACCTATGTACATACCTGGCTCTAAATCTAACTTAAGCTCAATTCACACCTTAGTCCTAAATCGAAATACTGACCCACCAACAGTATTTCCCCAAATGGGGACCAGGTTTTTGCCCCTATAAGGAACAGTGGGTCTTCACCAGGCTGTGTATACCAGGGAAATGGTCATAAATTGTTCCCACCAGGTAACAAAAACATGTACACACACACAACAGTGCACAAGAGGCAGGTGCTGAGAGGTGAAGTATGCAAGGGATGGAGGTTCAGATAGTTCCAGCTGCACGCTTCAGACGGTTACCAACAAAAGTGCAACAGCTGAGCTGTTACTCAATAAATGTGAACATTCAAAACTCTGCAGAGTTGTAAAGGCATGATGGTCTTTTACTGCCCCCATCTCAGTGCCTACCTGTGTCTCTTTATTGACCTATTGTCATGGCTGTGCAAAAATCAGCAATAAACTGCAGGTGCAGATGTGATCATCGTTTGTCCTCACCAACCAATAAACAAGCAATATTTACAGATAAAACAGTGGAAAGTGATTAAGCCAAGGCAGACTCAAGGGAAAAACACAGAGGCAGTGTACAAATTTAGCCTCTGTTGTTTTTAACCAGAAAAATGGCATTTTCTTTGAAAAGACAGTGTTAGGGCTGAACGCCTGTAAAAGATTGCTGACGAAACTGAAAGTGAGATGATCAAGCTAAAAAAAAGGCATACTAGCCAAAAATTAAAAAGAGAAAAACACTAGTTGAAAGGTAACAATAGCAGAATGCAAGCTAAAAGTTGAAAATAGCAACAATAGCTAAAATTTACAGGTATTAGCAAAATGCTAACTAAAAGGCAAAAAAGAGGCATTGAGCTTGGGCAATATTACAACTGTGCAAGTGTGTATGTGTGTGCATGTCTTTGTCCATCCATCCATCCATCCATCCATCCATCCATCCATCCATCCATCCATCCATCCATTCATCCCTGCATACAATGGTCCATCCATCCATCCATCCATTCATCCATCCATCCAAATACACACAGAAAAAACATTTTCATTTTTGGCATTGAGAAAAGAAACATGACTTGACAGTTCTGCTGTTTGGTCTGTTTATTAGAGGTATATTGGCAAACATTTTACAAGCTGCTGCTTATATGTTTCACTGAAAAACATTCACTAAGCTCAGCAGAGAACACCTTTAAAGCCCCATTGAAAGGCACTGAAGTCTGAGTTTTTCACCTTTCCCCCGTTATTGTCTTGACACAGGCACACACAACAAATACAGCAAAGACACTGTGGTTACACACTTCAGCATACGATACACAGTTTTCCACTGATGTGTTAGTTTGGTTTCTAGAGGTAACACCACTTAAGTCTGCTATCAGCTGCTGTACGCCACAATGCATGTAAAGCAACACTGTTAATTTAATACACTTAACATCTGTAGGGAAATAATGCTAACATAATTTACTTTGTGTACATGGCAGACTTTAAGTTTGCAGTTGATGAGTGAATGCATCTTAAATATTTAAAGATTAAATACACCATATTGCTGTTATTTTTAAAATACATAACTTTTAACTTAGAGTTCAGCTGATTTATGTATAAATCACAAGACAACTATTACACGAATTTTCTTCTTGTCAGCAAAATAAATTTACAAAATGCTTTCTTTTTTTAAATAATAACGATAGTAGTACATTCAAATAATAGCATAATAGTGCCTCAGCATTATTTTTCTTGTTTTTAAATAGTTTGAAGTGTAGTGGTTGCTCGTAAGTTACAGTCTGTTTATATTAGCTTTCAAAGAAAGAGATGAACCCTTTTTAGTTTAAAATACTGAAGAATAAAATGTCTGAATGCCAAGCTGGTGCCGTTGTCATATTTCTAACGCTGTCAGTCCACCAGAAAGACAAAAATATAATTTCTGAAGCTGCACCAGAGCTTAGCACGTGTTGCTACAGTGACTCCTTTGACTGTTTACGACTTAGTTTTCCACAAAAGCGAAGCAGATATGGATGTGCACTGCTGGTCGCCACAGAGTCACAAACATAAATACGAGTCTTCTGGTTTTAAAGCGTTTAGTTCTGAAGCAGTAGCTCAAATCTTCTGAAGTGAGGTTTTGTGGAGAAGGTATAAACAACTAATATATTACCTGTTGTAGCTTCTGTTTGAAAAAAAGAGTTTAATTTTGAGTGGATTGATCTTATAACAGCTCTAATCTAATGAACATAGTTTTAACAATTTGTGCAAATTATATTTTATAACATTTTATGTTGATGTCAGTTTTGCGTTAAGTAGTTATTCTGGCAAAATGTTCTGATATTACTGCAGGACGTGCTACAGCAAGCTGCTGCTACTACAGAATAAATAATATGGGTTTAGTGGTAGTAAAAATCACAAATTGTTTAGTTTTTACTTTTTCCGCTGTGTGCTCAAAAGTAAAAGTACGGTTATATGTCTGGAACTACAGTACAAAAACTCATTTAATGCTTGTTATGAATTTGGCATGGCTTGAGTTAACTGCTAAAATGCTAAAAACAGCAGGTTTGCTCTTTAATTAGCTTTTTCTTCATGGCATGTTAACATTCAAGCAATGTTTTTAAGTAAGTAAAAACTAGCTGTTCCCTTACTTCGTCAAAATTAAACTCATTTTCTTAAAACTGAGCTTATTTCAATAGTTATTTACAACAGATGAGATAATTGTTTATAACCTTTTCTGTAAAACCCCAATTAACAGATTTAAACTATTGTTTTTTTAATATGAGAGCTAAGAGGCTATTCGTCAATGATGTAAACACCCGGAGTGCTGCAGAATGTGGGAAAAACAAAATAATAATAAAAAAATAATAATCTGGCAGTTTGCTTCTGAAACGCATGTCTGCATCCTCATCCCTGTCGTCCAGTCATCTGTTCTGTCCCGTGGTCGATTCTTTCAGTCATCCAACAGTTGTCTTCTCTTGTTTGACCTCTTGCTCCAGTTAATGATAAATTAGCTGCTTCGTCCTCGACACTCAGCTCTCTGCTGCTTCTGTTTCAGTCTCTGCAGCTTCTTTTAATCCTTCCATTTTAGTTCCTGATCCGAGTCTTCCAGCCCTCTACCAGCAGCCGCAGCTCTCCACCACCATGTCCTGATAATTCTTCAGCACCACTCGGTCCTGGTGGTCCAGGTAGAGCAGGGCAATGGGGCTGAGCGAGGTGGGAACGCAGCAGGCCCGAGGCACCGCTCCGTTCACAGAGTTCACCATGGTCTGCACCACGGCATGGCTGGAGGCGTTCATGTGGTCGGCCAGAGGATAGCGGCACTCCCCCAGGCAGAAGAAGGCGTCGTAGCCGCTGGGCGCGATGATCCACTTGTGCCAGCCCACGTCATTGAAGTCAACATACAAGGGATGGCGGCGGCACCTGCCACGGGAAAGACGCTTCAGTTTGGCAGAGTGACCGCCGTTTCTTTTCACTCTTCCACGCTCACTCCAGCCGAATCTTCCCTTTTCACCCCCCAAGCCCTGCATAAAATAACCTACATTTTTGGCCCTCCCCCAGCCTTGGTCTTTCTTGTGGCTCTTGCTGCTGTTCTTTGCCCTGTAGGACCCTTTTCTTCCTCTTATCCAGCGCTCATTACCAGACTTTCTCCTGCTGTGTTTGACTAAAGGCGCTCCACGACCATCGTGACTGTAAGTCACTAAGAGGGGTCTCTCCTGGGCCCAGCTGTGATCATTCTGCCCCACAGACCTGCACACCCTCAGGTGTCCGTCTTTGTGTTTGCCTTCCTCCTCCTCCTCGCCCGCAGTAGAGGAGAAGCTCTGGTCAGGAGGAGAAGAGGTTCTGTTTTCAGGTCTGACCTCCAGGAGGAAACCCAAGCTGCCAGTCCCAACATGGGTCCTGTGGAGGAGATCCGCATCTAGACTGAAAGCCTCCCAAAACCCATTGGGTTTGTGACTGTGGAGGCCATTGGTGAGTAACCTGGTCTCCAGCAGAGTGGGCTCAGGATCTTCATGGTGCTTGGAGAGGTATAGGTTTAATCGGTGAGGCCCTGGGCCCAGGGAAGCTCTGTCACTGCGGAGGAGGCGGAGCTCAGCGGAGAGGACCGTCTCATCTTGAGGTATGGAGGAGATATTGAAGGAAATGTGCACTCTCGTGCGATCGTTTGCTTTGATACTGTCTCCAACAGGCTCTGAACAGAAGAATGAAGAAAAACACAGAAGTTAAGTAAGGTTTGGTTTAATTTGACTGCATTTATTTTTCAACCGCAACTTTTTTTTTAAAACAAAGACGATAAAAACTAGTTCAATAGAATCAACATTCCTGTCTTTAAAATAAAAAAAAATCACAAATTTAATCTTTTTGAATGTTTTACTTTTACTGTAAGTAAAGAAAGGCAATCAGGCATTAATAAACTTAAAAACTTTAGCAAGCAGAAAGTTTAGGATCCAATGCACCTTAAAAAAGTCAGATTACAAAAACAGAGACTGCATCAAATAAAATGTAAATTCATAATCTTTTTAATTTATCTGCATTTTCTTATATAAAAATGAGATTTGAGGACTAAAAAGACAAGCTAGGTAATAATTTGCAATGAGACTATTTCAGGTTGTTTAATGAGACAAAGCTATAGCATTATAGGATCTGAATTTCGGTGTCATTAGACATCAGGTAGGTAATAACCCATCAAATGATGTTAAAAGGAGACAGTAAATTTACAGCATCTTGTCAAGAATGCTCCAGTTTGAAGCTCTATTTGTGGAAATTGTGTTGGAACTGCCAACAAGTGGTAAGCAAAACCAGGGAGGTCATAGAGAGGGGTCAGGKGTGGGTGACAGTGTACGTTTGTCCTCGTGCCTCATGGGAAGTTAAACCAGCCGTGAGGAGAGGCCCGGGAGTGCAAACAATACACCATATTGGAACAAACTTCACTTTGTAAGAGATGTAACTTTGAATATAACCATATTTTATTATATAAAATCCCAATTTCCCAAAAAACTTTTTTCCAAATATGCAACAAATCTTATTTTAACATTTAAATGATCATGTCAAACAGAAGGAACCACTGCACAATTCATTATTATGATATTTCTCATGTGTTTATAGTGTAACATCACCAGAAAGTTGCAGAAAGTCTGTTTCCTGAATCAAAAAAAATTATAAAATTAATAAAAAATAAATAAGTAGGTCCTCTGGATGGGTTCTTCTTCAGTGAAATGTTTCGTCTCTCCTCCAAGAGACTTCTTCAGTCTGATGAGTTTCAGGTGAACTCAGCCTTATAAGTACTGCCTCCACCTGGACAAACAGGTTAGTCACATGTAAAAGAGGGCCATCGCCTAACAATAGGCTTGATTAGCTCTATTGTTCATAGAGGGTCATGTGCCCCATCACCTGACTTATTGGTTTGGATGCTGTGGCTGTGGTTATTTGGTGTTTTGTTATGTGTATGTAGTGAGTGCAAGCGGGGTTCAACGTCCCCTTGTTTTTGTCCCTCTCTCCCTCTTTGTGTTGGTATCATTGGGTCCCTGATTCACACATTTTGCTCACAGGGGGCTGAGTCATGCTTGCAATAACAGCGTTGTAGGAGGAGGACAACTGGACACGAAGGCCTCCACCTCTGTTTTATGGTGGACTATTTTTCTTCACAAAAATGGCTTCCTTTACTCCTCTCTCAAACCAACGTTCCTCTCTATCAAGGATGAGAACATCTTCATCCCTGAAAGAGTGACCGCTGGCCTGTGTTTCCTAAAGTCCTTCCATCAAGGAGCGTTTGTATGCATCTTACCGTTGTGGTGGAAGCTGCGTACAGTGTTGGCCTGCTCGACRTGCCGCCTGGGGAAGCTGAATGAAGGGTCCTCCACCAGATGATACTGCTGCTGGTGAAACCGGTAAAGATCCAGGAGGTACCGGGGCACCGGGACGCCGGGAYGCGGATCAGGCTGGGACTGCAGGCCCAGTCGGCTCAGGAGGAGGCTCTGGATGCTCTGAGCCAGGCTGGGGTCAGGGAGCGTTGATGTGAGGGGCGAGGAGGGAGGTGTAGGGGAGGCCCTGCCATGATTAGTCTCACTGGTGTCTCCACCCTGGCGACCAGACGAGGCTTGAGGTAGCAGCAAGACCATGAGGAGCAGGAGGTTAGCAGGGAGCATGGTGGACCTGGAGGGAGGAGAGAGAAAAAAACTCAAATGATGGGCAAACCTGCACATATTCACCTGGAAAACCTTGAAGGAGTGCACATTGTAAAGGGAGTTGGGGTGACTCCAGAAACTAAAGGGGCAATATCATGTAAAATTAACTTTTTTGGGTTTTTTATCATGTTATAATGTTATACTCTCATAAAAACTTGCCCAAAGCCTTGCTTTGACTCATTCATGCATGCTTGAGAAATCCTGCAGCGTTTTTAGGCAGCCATGAGGAGCAAAACGACAGGTGGGGACCAGAAACACTTTTGGGGACCAGAAACGCTTCTGGGATGTGTCTTTGAGCCGAGCTTCCTCATGGCTGAGTGCTCCCCCATGCCCCTACCCCCCTCCTCACACACACCCCCCATGACTCCTGCAGGCTCTCGGGTGAAACTGAAAGTGAAACTTAAACTGTCCTAACACTAGTTCTCACACAATGAAGCTATTTTCAGATTAAAAAATACCTTTGAGGAAATGTATTTTCAGATGCCAAGCAAGCTCCATCATGGCACCCCGCCCCCCCGCACGCGCGACCCCCCCTTCCCCCACCGCACTGAAATGGATGGGGGACAGAAGCGGAAGGTGGTTCTTAAAGAGACAGAGGAAAATTTCAAGGCGTTTAGAAGAGGAAGTGATGAGAAAAGTTTATTTTCTATTTAAACATAAAACAACATTTTAATAACAGCTAAAGGTGACATAGATGCTTTATTATGGTATAGTATTTAAATATATGCCTGAGAAACACATAATATTGCCCCTTCAAGCAAAGATGCCACACATGTTGCTCTAGAGCCGGGGTGTCAAACAGTCCTGCATGTTTTCCATGTTTCTCTGATTCAGTGATTCAATTACCTCTTCAAATTCTGTTTGAAGAGGTAATTATCCATATGTGAAAATCAGGTGTGTTCATTTGCTTTAGAATTCAACTCTATTTCTCAGAACTGAAGCCATTCAAAGAATCATCCACACCAGGTAAGATATTAACTCTTTCTGCAGAACTTCAAATATTTTGAACTTTCCTTGTAAAGGTTTGTCTCTCTGCAGTTTATGTTCAGTGCAGACAGACTGTAATGACAAAATGAAGTATTTGTAGAGAAATCTGCAGAACACATAGCCCTGGTACCTGATGCTCCAGCTCTCTGTATATCATGCTGGTGTGTCTTTTCCTTCCTGGACACACCAGTTTCTCATTAGTCCTTTGCCTTCATGCGGCATATGTTCAAGAAATTTACTGTCGACTTATCCGCACAAAGTTGTTTGCTTGTTGCTCCTGGCCACATTTGTTTTTACTCGGTTAATTTATGGCGAGCTTCAGACCCGTATGGCCCATATATCTCACCGGACACCTCAGCAGAAGTGACTGAGCCGCTTCCAGCTGTAATTTAAYCATATTTGTGTGCAAAAGAGCGCAGAGTTCTGAACATCCAAACTTGTAGCGTCGTGATGTGCCTGTCTGCCAAAATGACAGATGACTTTTAATCACCAGAGAATTTAGCCATTAAAACATTCAAACCTTGACAGCACAAAGCAAGAACAAGACATTTTTGCCAATAAAGGTCGAAATCAAACACCCAAGTTTGACTGACTGTGTTTTGGATTTACTCTAAAACAAGCAAAACTTGGACTCATATTTTAGTTCTTTTGTATTAATGGGTCAGTTTAGTTTGCACTTAGGTTAAATTTTGTATTTCTCTGAAGAAAACCATAAACAGCAGAGAAGAGTTTAATTACTTAAATAAAAAGCTGTGAAAGATTTTTTCTTCTGCTATGTGTTAGAGTCAAAAACCTTCAAAAGTATTATATGACAGAGGGACTGTAAAATTTACTTTTATGGGTAGTTTTTAGTACACTGTACTTTTTACTTGAGTAATTTTATTATGAAGTATTGCTACTCTTACTTGAGTCTTTTCTTGGCTACTTTTTACTTTTACTTGAATAAAAGTATGTAGTGATACTCTTACTTGAGTACAATTTTTGGGTATTCTCCCCACCTCAGTCTGTAGCTACAAATTCTTCTAGAAGGAAATTAACTTTTATAAGGAGAAGCTGACCTGTGTTTTCTCTAAGACAAGAAATGAGTCATATATGAGTCACAAATGCAAAGTCCTTAAAAATATAAACAATGTATTGACGTTTTATTACGTTAATCATATTTATGACCCACCAGCTTGARTGTGATTGCCTGTTTATGTTTTTGTGTGTGCAGGTTCTTGTCTGTCTGCCTGTTGGCAAAATATTTCATGAACCAGTGAACAAATCTGAAGGAAACTCCCAGAAARTGATCACTAGATGTTTTTTTTGCAACTGAACTAAAGATGTCTGCCACAGTTAAGCAAATTTAGCAAATGAAAAATGGCTATGATATCATGTTTTCTTTGTTGTTTTAAATTTATTGATACGCTGAGTTAAATGTTGTTGTGAAGACAGATGTGATTTATCCGCATCACATAATTCGACAGAGCTCACAAGATCTTTGTTGAACATTTTGGTTCCAGTGAGGTCATCAGAATGCATTCTTTCAAGGAATGCTGGTTGTTCTGCTTTATAGAATCATAATTAAGTAAAGCGCAGCAAATTCAAACAAGCGGTTTTAAATGTAAAGTGATAAAAACTTCTAAGAATACTCACATGAATATGATTTATATGAGTAACAAGTTCTCAACAGTTTTGTTAATGCTCAGTAACATGTTTCAGGTAAAAGCTGTGATACAACAAGTTAGTGCTGTCCAAGGCTGTGACATTTAATTTTAATGACACAAACATGATATAAAAAGAAATAAAACCTGTGTTCTGCTTTTTTTTAAAGAGATCTGTAAAAGTTTGAACCTTTTATTGCTCACACTCTCAAATCTTCACCGATTATTCTTAAAGGTTGCTCAAAAACGAAAGATAATTTGCTTTGGATTTTCATTGTGTCGTAACTTCTCTGTAAAACATCTGCTTTCTTCTTGACAGCTGTGTTAAAACCTCTGAGACAAGATGATTGAAGGATGTATTTATTTGCTGTTCTATAAGCTAAACTCGACTTTTTCTGGGAGACCTTATTTTGTTTTTGTTTGACTCACAGTAATCAGCTTTCATGTTTGTTAGAATTGCGGGAACTCCAGATCTAGGTCACACCTGCCTGACCTGGCAAACACTGCATTTTTGAAGAAAAGGTGTTAATAACTGAGGGGGTAATTACAAGCCAGGTAACAGCCCTCTTGACCTGCAGAGGTCGAGGTGAGGTGTTAAAAAGTATGTGAAAATATTTAAAACTTGGTTGATATATTAAAAAAATGCAAATGAACACAATAGAGAAAAAAAATCTACTCGTGGTGAATTCAGTTTTTTTCTTTAATCTATAAAAAAAAGCTTTTTTATGCCTGTGGAAGCACTTTAGGTTTGTTATAATCTCTTGCCTTCAATGAGTGTTCCCATATCTCTCTTTTTCTCGCCTCTATCTCTTTATCTCATCTCTGTAAGGGACAGAGAATCGATTATGGCCTCCGCAGCGCGATAACAGCTGCGTTTATGGCTGAGTAAACATATAATGACGCTGTAATGACTGCTAATCTTGCCACACTGTCAGAAAGGGGGCCAGAAGGAGGTCACAGGTGTGAAGGCGTGCATATTTTTATGCGTGTTCATGTGGTTCAAAGGGCAGGCCTGCTGAGAAAATAAGCCACCTCCAACCGTGGGATTGTTTCTGGCTATCCATTAAACTCGCACAGCCCCACCCAAGGCTGTTACACCTGAGGCAGCTCAGCAGAGGACAATTACAGATTAGACGCCGCTCGACAGGGCCCCTCCCATATACCGTGGAGGCTCGTAAAGCTGATTAAGGACAACAACACCACCTCGCTCCTGTACTTCCCTCACCGCCAAAACCACCCAGGTGACTCTGAGGTACAAAGGTTCAGTTGTCACACAGGAAGGTGTGTCGGAGCATGTGTGAGGCTGAGACACAGATACAGGAGCAGAGGTAGATTTGAACACGTTTATTTTCTACGTATGTTATGACTTGTTTCATTTAATGTAAACTGAGCAGTTTGTTTGCTGAAAGAGAGAGAGAGAGAGAGAGAGAGAGAGAGAGAGAGAGAGAGAGAAGTCATATATCACTTAAAGTGTTCAGTGTGATTGTGGGCTGAACTTGGAGTCGTGCAATGTTTGAGGGATAATCTCTGTAATAAAGAGAGCCAGATAAGAAGAGACAGAGGTATGAAGGTTTGGAGTTAATCAACTGCATCTTTTTCCTCATGAGCACACAGGCAGGTCAGGGATGTCAGATGTGACCTGACCCCCCCCGAGTAGACGATGAGGTGACCCTGGCACGGCGGACCAGTGTTGTTGCTGCCCTCGGCCCGTGTCTTTCTGAACCCGCTGATTAAAACCTCTGGCCTCTGGCGTCCGTCTCTCTTTTTATCTGTTTATTTCAAACCCTGCTCCTTTTCCCCTTCCTCCTTCCTCCGCATTCCTCGAACTTTGTCCTGTTGATTGGTCCTTTGTGTTGTCATGTATGGAGCTGACGACGCGCACTTTGGCTTCTTCTTTTACTTCGCTTCAAATGTTTTCCTCTTCATTAATCTTTTCTGCATCACGTCTTCACTGCCCTATCAGMTGCTCCTTTTCCCTTCTCTCGTATTAATGTTGCCCCCACCCGCAGCCTTCGCCCCATTCTGAAAATGAATGGTGTTTTTACGGAAGACTGCGGCAGCCGGGCCACGGGGGCTGGCGTTTCACTGCAGCCGGCTGATTTATCCACCACCACTGTCTTCGTGTTACGCCCGGTTCCTTAACTTTCCCTTTCCTGTTGTTCTTCCCGTGTTTCTTTTCCCAAATTCCTTCTTTCACACTCCTCGATTCGCCGCCAACTCCTCCTCACTTTTCAATGCAGCCGTCCTTTCCTTTCTGAACTTGATATGAGCACTGAACATGCCCTGCAGGACCCGTTTTCTCATGATATCCCAAGCTCGAATGTGATACAAACGACACAAATACACATCAGGAAGTGTTTATTTTCATTGCTGTTTGCTTGTCCACAGCAACCTACCACTGTTTAAGTTAGCCTCTGTGCTAAGTGGAGAAAAAAAACACAAACTTATAGGTGCATAACTAGTTTTTTAGCACAAAACTATAAATTGTGTGAAAATATTTTGCTTTCTTGAGCTTAAAAATCACAATTTTAAATTTAAAACACACTTTTGCAGGTGTAGGTTATTTTGCACACACATTGTTGCAAATGAAAATAGTTGAAATAACTACAAACATCCCTTAAAAATTGCAAGCATAACAAATTATATATATATATATATA